TCTGCCTGAAAGTCTTTTAGTAATCACTTTTTCCTGCCATAAAAAAAGATATGTAGATTGAAAAGTAATTAAAAATTTGTAACTATAAGATTGTGTTAAAATTTCTTCTGAATTGATTTTCATTATACCAGTCAATACAAAATTAACCTAAACAACATAAATGTACATTTAGATAAACATAAAGATAAAATTTATTAAAAATGTATCCATTATTCAAATACTTGGGCTATTTTTTGTTCAATAAATGTATGTATCTGTGAATGCATATTACTTATTGCTAGATGAGACAAAGCTCAGCATCAGTCTCTTCTATTTTTGTTTTTATGGATGTAAGATCTGAGAAAACATATTCCCATAAATAAGTAGATGAGAATGGAAAGAGTTTTGTTTTAGCAATGTCACTCAAATATTTGAACTCCTTCCAAGTTATATGCCAAAATCACATAGTTATCTATCATCAAAAATTATTTTTAATGATCTACCAGCTGTCATCTTAATTAGGTCTACTTTCAATTTTGTTAAAGGCAAAGAATCGAAACCGATTCCAGATTTTATGACTCAGTTATTAGTCATTTATTTTCTCAATACCAACACTGATATTTTTAATTGTCCTATTGTTTGCAGCTCTGGAGATTTTTTACACTTAGGTCAACGTACCATTAGTAAGATGGTAAAATGGATGATAGGCATGCCTCTCTTTTAAAAGGAACAACTGGCATGAATATTCTTAGGCAGTCAAATTTTGGAAAGAGTACATGTGAAACTTGGGTTCTGAAGATTATTTCCTAAAAATTATTCATACCCCCAAAGCATACATGTCCCAGTGAAAAATCTGATGGTGTAAGCATGTCTCTTTTTGAAGATAGTTACTCATCGTTCAACATCATGTGAATGTAGATTTTTCTATATTGGAACAAGAGACCTGTGGTAAATTATTCTAAAATAGCTGTAAAAAAAAAAATCCCCTTTCCCACATGCTGTACTTACACTGTGACATTGGCACTCCTCTTGTTGAGAAGTGGCAGTCTATTTTCCTTTCCTTTGGATTCTGAGGGGATTGGGACTATTGAGGAAATAATTCTCTATGAATTCTGAGGCTAGGTCATTAAAGATAATAAAGCTCCTGCCTGTCCACTTGGGATGTTCATCGTTAAAACCCAACTGCCATGCTGTGGGGAAGCCCGACTACATGGGAAGGCTGTGAATAGGTGTTTTGGCTGACGGCCTCAGGTGAGGTCCCAGACAGCCAGCAGCCAGCATCAACAGCACACCTGTGTGTGAGGGAGCCTTTTGGGTTTCTCTGACTTCAGCCACTTGGGTTATCCAGATGTGACTGCATGAAAGACCTCCGGCAAGAACCCCAAAACTGAGGGAAATAATAATATTACCATTGCTTTAAACTACTGTGTTTTGGGATGATCATTATATAGTAATAATAATCAGAACAGGACCTAACAGAATTTTTTAGTAACCAAACTAAATTGACATCCAGTTGATTCATAATTTGTGGAAGTGTTACCTGATGTTGGGTGAGGTTTATTTTTGCACGTGGTGAAAAATCACAAAGTACATTAGTAGCGCATAAAGATGGCAAGGCATATGTTAATCTTTAATTTCATTAAGGAAAATATAGCTTGATTTTCATATGTTCCAATTTATTGTTGTTTAGCGTACTGCATGCATATGACATTACCCAAACGCCTTATCTTTTACTTAATTTTAAAAAATTTAGTTATATTCTCAGAGTAATACTTGTACTTAAATTTAAAATCCAAACAGTAAAAGCTTAAAGACAAACAAACAAGCAAACAAATAGAAGCAAACCCCTAGCCCCTTCTCATTCTCCTCAAGCAAACTTTTATTTTTGATCTTTTTTAGCTGCTTAATCTGGTATTTACATCCCAGTTTCTCATGCTATACTTTATTGATAGTTCAGTATTTTTGTTTTTAATTTTACAAATTATCTATTAGCTTCCTTCACTGGAAGTTTAGGATTATCTCTTTTGCAAAGCCTCCTTAGCCCTAATGTTGATGCATACACTTGTTTTTCCTCCCATTCTCCCATTAGAGTTATATCATGTTTTCCTGATACATCAGTATTTATAGTTTATATCTGTATTACACTCTGATTACATTTCTCCTCTTTTCACAAATTTTTGTTATGTTGTTTGGTTATCGAGGTCCCTATGACTATTTTAGCCCCAAACTTTTTCCGCAGACTATAAAACAGCTTTTTTTTTTAAGATTTTATTTATTTATTCATGATAGACGCGCACAGAGAGAGGGAGACAGAGACAGAGACATGGACAGAGGGAGAAGCAGCAATTAATCTCATGCCTTTGAACATATAATTTCTAGTTTCCTTTCTCCCTTCCTCTCTTCCATCTTTCCTTCCTTCCATGTCTTCCTTCCTTCCCGTTCTTTCCCCCTTTCTTTCTTCCTTCCTTCCTTTTCTTCAGTCCTTTTCCTTCCCCCCTCCTTCCTTCCATCCCTCCCTCCTTTCCCTCTCTTACTTTCTGCCTCTCTCTCTCTCTCTCTCTCTCTCTCTCTCTCTCCTTCTTTGCCTTTCCTGAGCCCATTATCTTCCTATGCCAATCAAGATTCTTTGCTTTCTAGGCCAAGGACTCTAGCTGATATTCTAGGCAGTCATTGCTAGGAATTACCTTTCTTTTTTCTTTCCTCCTGAATTGAATTTATTTCTTAGATTTTGTCTTCCTCTTTCTTGGTCGATTTCTTTGTCTTGATGGAGCACATCTAGGATTTTGTGTGTGTGTGTGTGTGTGTGTGTGTGTGTGTGTTTACAAAGGCTGCATACAAGATAAAATTTTTGTAGATCTTACATGTTGAGAATATTTTAATTCTACATTTACTTTTGATTAAAGTAGAGCTGAAGGTAGAGTTTTAGGCTAGAAATAACTTTCTCTTAGAATTTAAAGTGTTTAATTTCTGTTGATTTGCTATTACAGTTTTTCAGTCTGAAGCTACATGGATTTCTGATATTACATATATTTATATATTACTGAGATTTTCTGATGATTTGTTGCTTGAATCTTCGGATTCAGCTTTCTGAGTGCTGTTAGCCAGATTCCACTAGCCATGACATTGCCATCTTACAAAGTGGTGTTTTCATATTCATCTATTGTCCTCGTTGTCTCATTCCCTCTTCCTTTTTCTTTGTCTTTGTGGTTTTATACCTTAAATGAGTATTTCAAGGTTGAATGTATGTGTTCTATCATATTTAACCTGCATTCTCTAGCTTTCTAACGTTTTTCACTTTAGAGATGTACTAATCCTGCCCTCTTATTTTTAAATGGTATGATTTTCAGCATTCGTCACGTTACATATATATCTATATGAAAAATTAACAAAAATACATCCTTGTGTTTCTTTTGATTCATTGATATGAAGAGAGACAGTGGTGTGCTATTAAGTGTTCATTCAGGATGAATGGACTAGGGAAACATAAAAATTGGTTTTGAAATAGTTGGAAAGACTGAAGGAGTGAGGAGGGAAAGGTGAGGTTACCCACCCACCACCTGTGTGGCTGGAGGAGCAGCAGAGGAAGTGGGGTTGCCCAGAGCCCAGGATTGCTGTGCTGAGGAGTCAGCTGGGGTGCGACCGCTGCTCACTGCTGTTCCGACGATCACCACCCTGTGCTGGCATTTAGGAGCCCACAGTCTCTATGCTGCAGGAACCCAGGGGCCCACGGTCTCTTGCTTCAGAGGCTGTAGCAGGCACTGCTTCCGGAGCCAGAGCTCATGAACACTGCGCTGCTGGAGCAAATGGAGCACAATCTCTGCCTTTGCTGAGCAGTTACACCGCCTGATTCCACAGCCTGTAGGTGCCCTGCCCCTCTCCTTGAAAAAAAAAAATCAAGCCTGTAACAGTGCCTCCCATTGGCAGGACCCACTAGAAAGCAGCTGGCAAGGAAGTCTGTGAGATGTGGTTTACAGGCTCCCAGCCATCCTGCCATACAGAGGAGATTCCAGAAAGCTGTGAGCCAAATGACAAATAGCCAGCCTAGAGAGTTTAAAGGGAAAGTCAATAACTGACTTGTGAATATTACCATTTCTCCGGGTAGGCATATCTATTTGGCACGTCCTCTGAGTGTGATGCACAGCTATAAATATATTCTATATACATATTTTTAATAGAGACCTTTGAGAATAAAATCAGAGCTGCTTGTGGCAAAGAGGTTTGATAATTTCCCAACTGTGAAGGAAACTTTAATGATTATGATATTTCATTGATTATTTTGGCATTTCCAGAGTTTATCTTAGATATTGCTGGTTTTACTGACATTTTCCAGAATTTGGAGCGGGTGTACAAATTTAATAGATTGTTAAGTGAGACTTTTCCTATTGTCTTAAATTTTCAATGCAGGCCAGAAACTGAGCACAAGAGATGTTAAATTCTTCACATTCTAAAGATTGTGAGGACAGCCAAAATTAGGTTCAGAAACCACCCCCAGGGCCAGCTAGGAGGGGGCTAGACTTGATCTACTGCCACCAACCTGCCCCTGTTTCCTATTTTTCTTTCTCCTGTCCTAAATGCACCTGACTAGAATTAACGGCCACCACTTTTTTTCTCTTTTTTTATCTTGCATATTAAAGTGAACATGATCTTTCAGGGGAATACAGCTATTTGTGTTGCTAAAATTGAAGGTGAAGAAATTTCTGTGTGACTGGCCAGTATGTAATCATTAGAAATAAAAAGGCATCTGTCTTTTGGCTTCTGTGCTCCTCCTATTCAGAGAGACTGGGAGTTCAACTCTGCCCCCCCAACTACTTGCTCCTGTTTTGAAAACTCAAAGAAAAGACATATTTATGACAGAGGATAGTATTCCTATTTACTTGTTCTTACGCCTTCTAGGCAGAGCTATTCAAAATAAAGGAATGAGGGCTGTTAAGAATTGATGTCAATATGATATTTGGATGGCTTTTGGCCAGAGGATTCATAAATGTTCAAATTCTTTCCTGTCTTGGTCATCTTTTCCTGAGGAATCTTCAAAGAGAGCATATGTGTCGGATAAACTGACCAATACAGCACAGTGACATCACACCGTAACACCTGCTAGGACGTCACTCCCAAGCTCCAAAGCAGGACAAGAGAGAACCAACCAGGAATCCACAGGTAATCTCCAATCTACAAATCTTGGGATGGCTTAGAGGTCTGGAAGCCAAGAAGGCCAAAAGACTTGTTCTAACCATTTCTACCCCAATATCCAAGCCACACTTGGATCTCACCATTCTCACAAGTTGTGAAAATTCCATTAACCAGTGCCAAGGTGTGAGACATAAGGACAGCTGGAGACAGGTGTTCTATCCCAGTGCCATCATGTGCCCTCCCTGGACCTGCCTGGGCTGCCGGTGAGTCTCTTGTGGAAGAGAAGGAGAGCAGATAAAGAGAGAAAGGGAGAGAAGGACCAAGCTTTCTGCTGGGGCAGTCAGGTTCTAAGCTTAGCCTTACTTCCCCACACTCCTAGAAGTGAGAGAGTCCAGAACGGCAAAGATTGAGGGACAGCTAGCCAGTCTTTTCCTCTTACTGCGATGACTGCATCTAAGATGAAAGAGAAGTGAAGGGCCAGATCGTGCAAGTGTGTGACTTTTACCCCCATGAGTGTTCCGCTGTGATCCCGTTCAGAGACCAGAGTCTGGCCATCCGAATCAGCACTGGGATGAGGTAGGCTCGTGGGGACAGCAGGAGTGACTAAGACCCACGACGCCTCCGAGGAGCCAAAGATCCCTGTGCTGATGTTGGCCTCGTAAGTAGTCACTACGGATACTTTCAAAGTCTGAGGTTTCAAGTCTTCATGTTTTATACACAATGTTGTGTAGAGATTATACTGGTGGCCCTGCAACTGCTTTATCTTCTCCTCTGCTGAGGCACTTTGTGTCTGTCTAGTTGATTCCATATTTTCTAGACTTTAGGGTGCCTTTTCATGTGTTGCCCTGTGTCCCCATTTGGACAGCGTGTTCCTGTGGAACAGGTGCCTTGTCATTCACCTTTTTGTATTTCCAGAATCCACGAGTGTTTGCCATTGAGTAGGCATTCAGTAAATTTTTGATGATGATGAAATTGTCTAGTGTATGAAGGGCATTATTCAGACTTATTAGGGCTTTTACCAGAACACATTTTTTTTTTTATGAGAACTATCTTCAGATCTCTATTTTGAAAGTTTTTGTATTTTTCTTTCTTAAAAAATTGATATAGCATTTTCAATACAGCTTGATGGGCTAAATTTATTTTTTGCCTTTGCACTTATTCTTTTAGAAGAGCATATATTTGGAAGAAGATATATGTGAAGAGCTGCAGAGACAGAGGCCATGTCTTTCAAACTAAAGTGGTAGAGTGATAGAAAGCACTTGTGTTGGAGTGACCCAGCCCAGCTGGTTGAAATAAGAAGCTGGGATCAGTCCTCGGACAGGCTGAATGTTTTTCCATTCTCATTATGCCCCTCTCCAGTGCTCTTTCTCAGAGCAAAGTGACAATTATAATGAGAAATACAAATAGGAAAAAATAATGGGAAGGGATTATACTTTCTTGCCAGTCAATGTGCTAAGTTATGTATATCAGCTCATTTAATCCACACAATTACTCTATATAAAACACAGTGTTATTATCTGCAATTTATAAACTAGAAAACAAGCTCAGAGGATTTGAGCAATTTGCCTAAATCCTACCACCAGTCACGGCAGAACCAAAATGGAAACACTCCCTACTCTGGCCTCAGACTTTGACCACCACACTCCACTGTCACCTGAAGGCTAAGAAATGTTTTTGGAAATAAAAAAGGAGGGAATCTTGGAGACCAGGGATGGCCTACGTCTTAGACAACTTTGGAGAAGTTACCCAAACCATCAGAAATCTGACCTTAAAATATGAGAGTGGCAATTAAGCCAACTGAAGGTTTACCTAGAATTTAGGTTTAGAAGTAAATGAGAGACACTTTCAGTTGAACTTCGAGATTGACATATTTTGCTTACTGTTCTGCACAATAGTCATTCTCTGCTGAAAAGAATAACTCACTGGTATAAAAGAATGACCTGGGATTGACTTATTGTCAGAAACACTAAAAAAGTTATAATAAACCAAGACAGGTTATTTTGAAGGCAGCAAAAACCTGCGATCAGGTGAGGTATTAGCTTTTTTTATATATGTATATAATTTCATTTACATTGTCTAGAGCATCCATTTTTGTGTTTTGCTTTTTTCTTGTTTTGGAATAATGAATGGAGTTATTTTAACGGAGTGCTAATGTGGTGAGTGCCAGGTGAAAAATTCAATTGAAACGCTGTCACGAGATTCTTTTGTTTTACTGACAGAGGTGTCATGTTCTCTTGATTCCTGATACATGGAGTGTGAACTGATAAATAGTTTAGAGATGAAATTGTCAGTCACCATTATCACACTCAAGCAATTATCTTTTCTGGTGGCTTGCACCACCATGAAATCCAAGTTTTGGGAGCAAAGAGAAAAACAGTATGTATGTGACCATAAATTGTAAAAGTGCTTAGGTCAGAAAAGTAAGGTTCCTAAGGGGCCTGAATTAGGCAGGGGGTAATTGTCTGCTACGTTCGAGATTAGCGAACAGGAAGGAAGGCAAGAAGGGGGTAGATTGGATGTGGGTCCACCTGACTTCAGGCTTCAGGCTCCCTTACAGATGGAGGTCACACCAAGGCTTTGATAGAGACCCTACTAATATGTACACACAGCCATATTCTTTTGTAAAATTCGTGCAAGCTACTTAACTAAATCAGTTAAGTCTGCTGTTTCTTCCTGCCCTGACTTCCATTAAATTCCTCCTTCCTTTGGGTGGTTTTGGAGAGACCTCAGACATTGCTTGAGATCTACCTAAGAAAATTTGAATGGAGGGGCGCCTGGGTGGCTCAGTCAGTTAAGCATCTGCTTTCAGCTCAGGTCATGATCTCAGGGCCCTGGGATCAAGCCCCGCATCCCCACATCCCCGCATCGGGATCCCTGCTCAGTGTGGGGTGTCTGCTGCTGCTTCTTCCTTTTCCTCTGCCCCTAACCCCACTTGTGCTTGCTCTCACTCTCAGATAAATAAATAAAATCCTTAAAAAAAAAAAGAAAGAAAACTTGAGTGGAGAATACATTTTGTTTTAGTTTAGTGAAATATATTTATGTGATTCCCATCATCACTTCCCATAGATTTAAGTTAGTACTTCCTCCTTCTAGGATAGGAATAGCTTCCAGGAATATTCCTATTGTCCATTCTGCCAACCTGGTTGATATGACTCACAGGTATGTGACCAAAACAATATGAATATGTCTTAAGGGGCCTACCATCTGATGTACGTGTGTAGTGGAGAAACAAGGCTTGAAATACATGGAGCCAGAAGCTAGTCTAGAAAACTTTTTTTTTTTTAAAGATCATATTTATTTATTCATGAGAGACACAGAGAAGAGGCAGAGACACAGGCAGAGGGAGAAACAGGTGCCTTACAGGGAGCCTGATATGGGACTTGATCCCAGGACCCCGGGGTCACGCCCTGAGCCAAAGGCAGACGCTCAACCGCTGAGCCACTCAGATGTCTGTAGAAAATTGTTCTAACCATCAGATATGTAAAACTGTAATTGGAGCATTTGGTTTCTATCTATAATCCTACCTGTCAGGAATGTACTTAATAATACAGCATGTAAGTTAATCACATTTTTGCTTTTTTTGGGGGGGAGGGAAATTGTGTGAAAAAGACTTTGTCAGAACTCTGTATTTTTGGGACACATGTGTAGTATTTCCACAAATGGTGCTTATAGTAACCATATACAGAAGAAACTTTAGAGAGCTGTACCGGCTATTTATTCTCATATATCAAACTTTCCCAAACTTATTGGCTTAAAACAAAAATCATTACTCTGTTATTAGTGATTTGGCCTGGGCTCTTCTAAGATGGCTTATCTTATTCCATGAGGTGCTTGCTGGACATGAACTTAAGGCTGGGATCTCAGCTGTGGTGGCTAGTGCTTTTTCTTCTCCCCCTAACAGTATTGATCCTCCACAAAGCCAAGGTTTGTTTGTTTCCCGAGTGAGAGCATGAGCCAGGTCTCTTAAGGCCTGGGCTCGTGTCACTCACACAATGTCACTTCCATTAATCAAAGAAAGTCACAAGGCCAGCCCAGATTCAAGAAGTGGGGAGACAGGCATTTTTACCTTGAGGTGGGATCTTATGGTCACTTTTTTGTACTCTACCGTGTAAGATTTCCCAATTTGACAAAAATTCTGATCATTAATCTAATGATAGGAAGTTGTGAATCTGAAAGAGATCACTAAGCTATCACTAAAAAAAAATCAGTCAACAGCACTAGGGGAAAATCTGAATTACCATTCTGTTCTCTTTCTATAAAATAATATTAGAAAAATTGTTGTTATGTGGAGAGACAGTCAAAGAGTAAGGAGCCGGGAATATGGTGGATATGGAGAGAAGGATCAATAAAATATGTCTTGAGATCTAGTTGAATTTGTATTTGGTTTATATAAAACAGATATCAGCACCATGCTTGGGAGTTCATATGGTCTGGGTTTGTGTGAGTTAACATTACTTTAACAGTTGAGAGATTTGGGGTAAGTTACCTCTTGCTTTGAGAATCAGTTTTTCATCTGAAGGAGTAATACAGATTTCTTCATATTTTTGCAGCTATTAATGTGCTAAATAATGTTAAAGTGTTTAATATTCCCCTAGTATATAGCAGGCAGACGGCGTTAACACTTGGATCGAACATGCCCACTGTGTCTTTGGTCCTGTTCTTAGAACTGGGGTTATAGCGACGAACAACACAAAATTCTCACCCTCAAGAAGATTTCATTCTAGTGAGGGTCTTATGTCTAGTAAGACACTGACTGACTTCTGAGTTTATATCCCAGGCTTCAGCAAATCTTCATTCTCCTTCTTAGCATAAAGACATGAATAAAATAATAAGGAAAAATACTTGGAGCAATAATCTATGGAGATTTTGTACATTTCCTACTTAAAAGTGTGCATTAATTGATCAAAAAGAGTTTAAACAGAGGAGATGCTGGGAGTTCACATGTAATGAACTTGCCCAAACCGTAAATGGAGGCTAAATTATTTAGGATTACTCTAATCCGGTTAGCTAGGAAAATTGGATCTCTC